AGAAAAATTTTTTGAAATTGAAATTTACTTTTAGAAGTTAAAAAAATAAACCAAGATTAAAATTAAAAGCTACTAAAAATATTTATTTTTTATTTCTTAAGAATAATTCATTTTTACTATTTTTGTGAAAAACTGATTAAATTCACAAGAATGACAAAGCGTATTTCAAATTCGAATGACCGCAATTAAAAATTAAAGCGATAATGAATTTTTTATGGCTGAAAAATACGTCTTGGGTCGTTAGTAAAAATATAGATTTCAAAAATAATATCGTTAAAAGTGAGGTAATTTTTAATGTCTTTGTTGAGTTAAGTAATAACTTATTGTCATTTTTTTTTCAAAAGTCGTATGTTTTTATCGCTCCAATCCGCGTTCATTCTAACTTTTATTTTTTTTTTTTATTATTGTTGTTATTGCCTGAATTTTATTTTGATCGGTAATTGCAAAACATTTAACGCGTCGTTAAAACAAAAGTTATTTTTTTTTTTTAAAGAATTTAGTGAACAAATACAGAGAAATAATTACTCTGTTTAGAAAAATATTTAGCTACCTTTCACCATCTATCGGCTGACGTGGAACTAATTAAAAAAAATTTTTAATCAAAAAATTTTAAACCAAAAATAAAAAATTCAATTTTTAATTCAAAAATTTTGAACAGAAAATTAAAAATTCATTTTTTAATTAAAAAAATTTTAAAACAAGTTAAAAATTCAATTTTTTGTACAAAATAAAAAAAATGAATTTTAAATACAAATTTTATAAAAAAAAAAAAAATGAAATAAAAAAGGAAAAAAAAATAAGACATAAGTATGTTTAAATTGAATTAATTAGTTATTATTCATATTATTTGTTTTTTTATACAATAGTAATTATAATTAAGGTATTTAGTTTTTATTTTTATCTTCATTTATAATATATGTACTCATTAAAGGACTCGACAGGCGGGAAGTGGGATAAAGAAGGAAAAAAAGGAGGGGGATATTAAAGTTTGGAAAGGTCGAGGACTGACTCTAATTTAATATCATATAATAGACAACTCTCTTATTTGTATACACTCTTTAGGTTTATATTAATAACCATCGCTTCATAAGCACACAGTAACTTCATATTTATATTTATATTTATATATTTATATCCATATCATTAATTAATTATCATTTATCAATAATTATCATTTATTATTTATCATACTTTAACCACTTACTTATAAATCCATGTTATTAATAATTAATAATAATAATTTTTTACATTCTTACATCACAAAATTTATTTATATTATTATTCATAAAATTCATATTTTACACATATTTTATTTATTAACTTACGATATATAAAATAAACTGGGAAAGGTTCAGGATTTTGGGCACCTCCAAACCTTATTTACAATTTTATTTTTAGTATTTTTCTTTTTTTTAATCACCAGACAAATTTATTCGCGATAGATTGTTTTAAATAATTATTAAAATCATGTCCGAGTTTAATGTTAATTATTATTATTATTAACTCAAATTCGACGTTAGTCCGCTGGTAAAACGCTTAAGAAACAAGAGCGCGTAATAATAATATTTTTTTTTTTAAATGTAGAAATTTAAAAACGCGAAGCAATTATTGAAATAATTTTGTTGAATTTTAAAAACCGTGACTCGTTACTCGTAAGTACGGTACCGCGAGTACCGCAAAGCGTAGGCCACGCGCTCCTTGCGGTCGTCGTTAGTTGGTTCTCTGGCACGACAAAAAATAAAAGGCATTGCAGGACAAACTTTTATTTTACTGAAGTTGAGAGGCTGACCGCAATGCACGATTCCACGGTTCGTTGTCGTCTGCTCACCAAGCCAATTTCCGCTGATTTTTTCCCTCATTACAGGGCGCTCGAATTGCGAGTTAAGAAAGTACCTACCGTAAAGAGACTAAGTCTTACGTCAATAACTTTTAAGGCTTTTTAATCCTGGGAAAAATTTTTTTGGAAAATCATATATGATCACATATGTCATATGTGATCCATGAATTACTTAATGAAATTTATGAAAACATATTAACAGTTCAAATTTTTTGCGATCATTTATGTTTATTTATTACATGTGATATCATATATCATCAAATATAGTTTTAAACTCCACATATAAGTTCATTTATGATATTATGTCAACAATTTGAATTTTAAACGTAAATTATAAAACTTTTTCATCATATATGATGTCACATGTGATCATATAAGTCATGTGATAAACTCATATATGATGTCACATATGAGTTTATATATGATACCATGTCAACAATTTGAACTTAAGATATAAATTATACAATTTTTTTATCATTTATGGTGTCACATATGATCACATAAGTCATATGTGATCAATGATCATAAATGATGTCATATATAATCATAATCACATATGTCATATGTGATCCATATATTACTTCATGAAATTTATGATAACATATAAATAATTAATTTTTGTAATCATGTAACAATTTATCATATACCATCAGATATATTTTTAAAGTCCACATATGATCACATATAAGTTTATATATGATACTATGTCAACAATTAGAACTTTGGATGTTAATTATATAACTTTCTTCATCATATATGGTGTCACATATGTCATATGGGATCTTTATATGGTCACATATGATACCATTTTACTAATTTGAACTTTAGATGAAAATTATATAACTTTTCCATCATATATGATGTCATATATAATCAAATATGTCATATAGACTATTTATATGGTCACATATGGCATTTTTTATTTTTATATGATCACATATGACTTCACATATGAAATTTTGTTAAGAAGTGAAACTTTAATGTAAAAAGTATACTTTATAAATTATATATGATGTCAGATATGATCATATATGATCAAATATGACTTTACATATGATATTTTGTAAAGAAATAGAACTTTAGATGTAAATTGTATATTTTTTATATGATATATGATGTCACATATGATCACATATGGTTCCTATAAGCCCATATGTGACAAAAATTGATGTAAATAATTTTTGAGGTGTATTTTAACCTGAAATTTATTATTCGATGATCACATATGACCAGATATTTTTTTTTCAACATGAAATATTCATACATTTAATTTTTCTTCCAGGATAAAAAAAATAATTTCTTTGAATTTGAGAAAAAATTTCACAACACGGAAAGACTGTGAAGCCTCCGCCATCTGAATATTAATTAAATATACCACGATTCTCTAATTTCTAGCACGAAAATAACATTACCATTACATAAAAATAAATTCAATGAAAACGTCGCTTGGAGCAATACAAGGAGCAGAGAGGGAGTTTAAATAATTGCGCAATGGAGCCTAAGCCGTGACAAGTCTGAACTAAACTTTTAAGTTCGGTTTAGTTAAAACACAAATAAACGGAGTTTGAGTTGAATAATAATAACAATTGAGTTGTCGTCACTCAACTCTTATCTGGCTCGCTCCTTAATGCAATGCCGTTGCGTCGCACTGAGGATTACATTCATACCCTCGAGTATTATTGCGCTAAACTCGGAAGATGTCAAGTAGGTCAAATTAGCCAACTTGCAGTTAACATTTTGCCGTTTAGTTTATTTCAATTATTATTGTTATTGTTTCCTTTTTTCGTATAACTATTTCCGCGTTCGCATATCAATAAATTAATTTTAACTTAATTTATTTATTTACATTTTTCAAGATGATCGCTCGACTCTTGTCTCAGACGTTTCGCACCTTTGTTTTTATAATTGCCTTTGGAGCAGCGGATTGGCGTAAACTCTTGAGTCCTAGGGTTGGTTATTGTTGATTTAGTCCTGTACTTTTTTTTTTTTGGACTCTTACAGCTCTCAGTGTGTTCGTTACACTGCGGGCCAAACCCTGAAATCATAAAAAAAAATATAATTATTATTTTTCAAATTTTAATTTTTAACAAATTAATTTTAATTTTTAAATTTCCAAAAATTTTTTTTATAGCCAAAATTTGTTTCTATTTTTAATATAGAATTATTTGTTTCAAATTTAAAGTTTAAATTATTAAAAAAATAAAATTCGCGTCTCTAATACCAAAAGCAAAAATAAAAAAAAAAGCAACGTGAAAAAAAACTCAAAATTATGGTGTTAATTTATTATCATACTAAAAAACAAAATTATAAGAGTAAAACGTAAATATATTGATAAAAAAAATTAATTTGATGAAAAATACAAAATTTTGAACCGAAAACCTTATTTTAATGATATTTTCGGTTCAGAAATTTTTTTTTCAACCAAATTAATTTTTGAATTAATGTAGTGAGTAGTGAATAATGAATAAAATGTTAAACTAACCATTTTGAATATTTGTTAGCGAGTAGAATGTTACATTAGATGATATTAAGTATTTTCTATGCATCATCATTGTTGTCAATAATATCTGCAAAAAGAAAAATCGACTTATATATTTGTTGTCTGAGTTTAAATGTTATTTAGGTAAGTTTAATTAATAAAAAAATTTAAATAAGAATTTCTAGTCATTTTTCCGTTTTAAAATGTTTTAAACACTTTTTTGTATTAGAGATGCAATTAATTAATTTAAAAATTTTTAGTTAAAGCGTTTTGAGACAGTTGATTTGTCCAAAAGATCAATTTTATATGTTTTTAATTTCTACACTTTAGAATTAAACATTTTCATGTAAAAAATTGATTTAAAAAAAAATTAATTACTTTTTTATAAAAGTATACTGGCGTTAACACTATAGCTCTTGAACAACACAATTAATTGGCTCGATTATTTTTTTGATCAATTCGGAGGACCAATGCGCAGAGATGATTTGATAATAATAATTAAATAATCATTTGTTTAATTGCAAATAAAAAATTTCTAAATTAAATTTCCAAAAATTTTTAGCAGTGTCTAAATAAAATATTATTAATTAGAATTTTTGGTAATATTTTCAGACATAAGTCTCAAAGCGCTTTAATTAACGGAAAAAATTTTAATTAAAAAAAAAATGGCAAAAATTACCGCACTCACGTGAGTAATCCGGGATTAGGTTCCGTTTGGTACCACGAATACTGGGGGAGGTATCCGGAGTGATGAGGCGGCGGCGGAGGCGGGGGTGGATGGTGCCCGGGCGTGTGGGGGTGATGGTGAGTATGTGGCGGAGCGTGGGAGTGTGGGTGGTGTTTCATCTCGCCGGTCCAGGCAGGCGCTGGCGGGCTCTCGTTGTGCTGGGGCGACATGTCGCTTCCGGGTGTTGAGCTCCCCGGGGTATTTTCGCCTCCGCCGGGGCCGATCCCGCCCAGGTAACCTGTCGTTGGACTTCCGGACACTGAACTACCTCCGCCTGGAATAGAATAAATTTCACTTTTATTTAAAACTTCTATTTTTAAAATCAATTTTATAAAAAAATAAATCAAAAAATTTTATTTATAAAATTATTTTATAAATAAATTAATTATTAATTTTTTGAGACTTACCGCCTTGCATAAGCCCGCCAGGTTGTCCAGGTTGAGGTGAGGGACCACCAGCCAAGAGGTTCCCATGCTGGCCGGTTCCGCCACCGCCGCCCTGCTGTGCAGCCTTCATCATCTTCTTGTACTTGCTCCTCCTGTTTTGGAACCAGATTTTCACCTGTAACAGCGAACATATGTGCTTTCATTAGTCATCAGTCATCACAATATAATGTATTACACTACAGCAGTTACATTTTTGGGATGATTAAATAAAAGGAATTACATATCAAACATCAAATAATATTTTGCAATTTTTTACGGGATTAAAAAATTGTACTTTTTAATTAAAAGTGGTAATTTAATAAAAATTTTTTATTGAATATTAGTGTTAAATTAGAATTTTTTTTAATTTTTTACATCAAAGTATCGTAATTTTTTTATTACCAGGAATTATTATTAAAATAATAAAAATTGTCCTGAATTACGATATTACTAATGCAATTTCATTAAAAAATTTTTTTTGTACATCTCAAACAGTCACGTATTTTACAATTAGAAAAAAATAATAGAATAGAACGTGATCCAGGAATCATCCTTATATTGCACGACTATACTCTTAAATGCCTCGCATCTAGCTGCATTTCCTAGGTTACGTAACTTGTACTCAGTACTGAGATGATCATCAACAGTCATTAGAATTCATCATCCAGGGAATTCATAAAATTCCTTCTATTCTCACCAGTATAAAACATTTGTTACATAACAAAGATAAAACATAGTAGGAAAAAAAAAAAAATTTATTTTTATTTTTTAGTAAAAAGCAATCTTAACTTTAAATCTTAGTATTGCGAGTCAGGATAAGAAGTCGTAATTTTAATTAACGAAAAATGAAATAGATATAAAAAATTGCCTGAGGACTTCACCAAACGAGTTCATTAAAACTATAAAGATAAAGATATAATATTATTACGATGAAATAATTGTACGTATTGGATTTTATAAGTATGTTTTTTGGATTATTTATTTTATCATATAAAACACCAAAATTAATAATAATAATAATAATAATAATAATAATAATAATAATGCTCTTTAATAAAAAAAATAATAATAAAATTAACATTGATCAAAATTTCAAGTCAAATTATTATTATTATTATTATTATTATTATTAAAAAAAAAAATTTTAATTTTATAATTAATAAAAATAAAAATAATAATAATAATAATAATAATAATAATAATAAAAAAAAGAGAAAGACAGATTAGTTTGATGTTGAGGAGAGGAAGGGGCCAAAGGAAAGGGAATCCACGCGCGGCGTGCCGGCGCGAATAAATCTCTTTCTAATTGCTGGATGAAAAAGCGCGAGGTTGCACGGTGGATGGCGCCCGACAAAGGACAACAACCAGCCTAACCTAACCCAGTACATTTTATATTTTATATTTTATAATACTTAACTTATTTACTTTATACTTATACCGGCTTACGCGCTTTTTTTTTTTTCATACTTGTCTCGTATTTTTGTCTAATGAGGATTTTAAAAGGCATAACAGTCAACTACTGGTGGAGTTATATTTATTGAAAGAAATATTATACTACTTATTTTATTTTCTTTTTTTCAGAGAAAAAAAAAATAATAATTAGTATTTAATTTTTTTTAAAAGCTTGAACAAAAATTGAGATTTTTTACTACAATTTTTTAAAAATTGTTATTTGTTTAATTATTAATTAATAATCTTGTCATTCTGTCACTTATCGTTAATTATGTAAATATATACATTGTACAGAAAAATAATTAACATAGAATCGATAAATTACAGGGAATACGATTAGTAACTAATAAACAGAGACGTACTCAATATTTTGCATCAATTACAACTTTAAATATTGTTAAAATAATTAATTATTAATTAAAAAATTTATCAAATAAAAAAACTTGATAAATTGCTAGGGCGTCTTCACACGTAAATATTCAATAAAATACAATCTTAAAAGCGTTAGTTTGTTGGTAGGCTATTTCTGCATGGAACAAGTGTCAGTCCTTTGATATTATATTTTCGCTTTAGATCACGCCGGACAAATGCCACCGTGTTATAAACCTCTTGGAGAATAAAGAGCAGTGAAGGGTTGGCGTCGGTTCTTGTGTCATATAATATTCTTCTGCTTAGTTCGAGTGTAGCGAATGTCGATAAAGGCCTCCTATAGCCTCGAGACAAATATACACTCCTACAGTCACATATATATATGATTATTATAGGCTATAATAAATATAAGGTAAGTAAAATCTAGAAACTTACTCTAATAGAATCAAAAAAGTTGATAACTTCCAAAATTACAGGTATTACACAGGTATTACACAGAGCTTTAGCTACTTTTTTCCGTTTTGTTCTCTGAATTCTTCGGTGGCTTAGATTTTAATCGGCTCAACTTCCGTTAATTATTGTTATTTTGTTTTAATGTCAGCTTGGGTTTTTATCAACTGTGATTCATATTTGGCTTGTAATTTATGATTGTTTATAACATTAAAAAGATTTTATGAAATATCAAAAATTTATTAAAATTTTTTACTAATAATTTAATTAAACAAATTATTAATAAATATTTTATTGATTGTTAATAAAGCTTATTAAATCTTCAATATTTCATCCTAAATAATGATAATAATTTTTGATTTAAAATATTATTGATATTTTATTATTATTACTATTTTTTAATATAATAACAGTTAATATCATTAATCAAAAAATAATAAAATTAATTAAAGTAAATAAATAAAAATCAAAAGTGAAATTAAATATAATAATATACAATAGAGCGACACTTATATGCGTGAAATGTAAAATACCAAGCAATCTATTCAATTAGTTATCTTGATTATAATAATTACATTTAATTCGAGAACGAGCCGACAATTAAGTAATTACTTAGAAGCTTACAGTTAATAACATTGCCCCGGCATATAAATTTAAATTAAAAGGACAATAATTTAGTCTTGTAATAATGTAATGACAAGTGGAAAGCAATGAATAATGGATAACGAAAGTGGAAGTAAATATTATACACAATAATAATGATAATAATGAAAAGGATTATGCCTATAAAAGCCACCAATTTAGTGTATTATGTGTCGCTTTTACAACTTGATATAATGCATCTAATGACTATAATAGCAGGGATTTATTATTATTAATAATAATGCAATTGCATCGGGTAATAGTACATCAAGAGCACGAGCTAGCGGTTAAGGCAATTCACGTGTCTGCTAAAAATCTGTACGGAAGTTTTGTTGGAGCCAGATTTTTATCGGCTTTTATTTATAATACTCTGAAATTTTTTTTTTGTAATTATGTCAATCGGAAAATTATTTACGCATAAATATAATTATTATTGTTAAGTACTAGGGTAGGAAAAAATTAAGAACGAAAGGGTGCGTAGTGTAAGTAAATATTTGTAGAAGAATATTTATAGTAGGGGATTTTTCCCCCTGCTGTGTGTTTTGACATTTAAAAAAATCTATTATTATTATTCCAAATTTTAAATTAATAATATTAGTAATCATTTTTACCTGAAAATTTATTATTATTATTATTAGCAACCTTGCAGTCACTTTGTGACATGTAAATAAATAAAATTTTGCTTTATTAAATAATCAATTTTGTTAAATTGTACTGTACTTTCTTTAATATTGACATTTTTAAAGATATAAGCTCATCCCGATGATACACTCATCGAGAGCTTTCATTCGAATACATACATGTATTTTTGATATATTTTTCATATATACATATATATAATATATATAAATATATGAAAAATTGATGTGGATACTCAAATGAAAGGTCTTGATAAATGTAACATCAAGATGAGCTTATATCTTTAAAAATGTCAATAGTTCACGAGATACAAGGTCATTTCTTAATTATCTTAAATTGCTCTGTACTTTCTTAACTAATGACGTTTTTTAAAATATAAACTCATTCCGATGTTAGACTCATGAAGAGCTTTCATGTGAGTACCCACATGCATTTTTGATATATTTTTCATATATTCATATATATAATATATATAAATATATAAAATATATGAAAAATTGATGTGGGTACTCAAATGAAAGGTCTTGATGAGTGTAACATCAGGATGAGCTTATATTTTTAAAAATGTCAATAGTTTACAAGATAGAAGGTCATTTCTTAATTATGTATCTAGAGATAGAGAATTTTCGAATGCAACCTAAATACTTATTATCATAAATTGACTATTGATGAGAATGATATGAAGCTTTGAAAAAATTTTTTTTATTCTCTCAATAATATAGATTGTTATTATTATTATAAAAATTTCATTGTCAATGGAATTTCCTATATTTTTATTATTATAAAATCAAATGCTGACTAATACAACCGCGTCATTTGTGTGATGTCACGTATAGACGATACGTAGTATAAAATAGTTGATGGTGTTGATAATAATAATAAAAAAGAAAAAAAATCTCGTAATTTTCCTTGCACAATATAATAAGATAAAATTGTAAATTTATTGCAATTTTTTACCGACCGACCGACCGATTTATTTATTTATTTATTTAATTTATCCGGAATTCACCGATTTTAATTGCGCTCACGTAAACGCTGAAAAAATATGTAAGTGTATTTAAAGGTAAAAGAACAATAAAACGTAAAATGGTATACCGACAGAACACTCGGGAGTATTTCTTTTGTGTCCAACATTGGCATTCGTTATTTAATATTTTTTGTACATATTCATAACGCACGACATGAGGAGAGTTGCGTAACACCCCTAACGTCACTCCCATGTCTCGTCAACCTTCTCATTTTTATTTTGTTTTTTCACTTTGTCATATTTTATTTTTTATACATATAATGAGAGGATAGTTGTGTACTGAGTATGTCAATCCAGTGGTTGTCATTTTTTAATCCGTCACTTTTTCATGTCTTAAATTATCATTTTCATTAAATATATAAATATATATTTCAAATTAACCGATCAAAACTATTTAATTCCATTTTTAAGTTTATTAAAAAATATTTTTTATGATATTAATATCAATTCCAGACTATTTTGCCCCCAAATTACATTATTAAATCAGACAAAACCATCCTTAGAATTAATTTTAACAATTTTGGATCAAAATTAACAATTAATATTGACGTTAAAGT